GATGGACAGAGTGGATGGACGACAGAAGACAGATGTATTTGCAGGTGGGTCACAGATGGAAAGGACGGGTGGCTATGATGGGTGGTGCACTGGGCAATAGGAGAGGGACACATGGGTCTGGAGGGAAGGACGGATGATATAATGGGGCGGATAGACAGCTGCATGACAGAAGATGGACGGGTGGATGGGTGTGTACAACAGACAGATGGCAGAAGACGGGCAAATGGGTGGATGACAGACAGAAGGATGGATAGATGGCAGGGTCTCTTCTAGAAGCCTGGGTAAGGAGGAGCCAGGTTCGTGCCCCTCCCCTGTGGACAATCGGGGAGCCCAGGGAGGTGCCCTTGTTCCCGCAGCTCCTCTCGTCATCCACTGCCCTCTGCATCTGCAGCCAATGCACAGACACCCCCTTTTCTTTTATTCTAGAAAAATATCCCTTTTACATAAATACTGCCGCCTGTATTTCCAAGCATGCCACCTGCCTGCAGGTTTATTAACGGGGCGTGGCACAGAGGACGCTGAACGGAGGGGTCCGTGGTCCTCAGCTCCGGTACCCAACGTTACCCTTTTCAGCCTCTCCCTCCGCCCGCTCTCCAACTGCACTCAGTGGGCTGCCTCCTCCCACCTTCTCACAACAGCTAACCCAGTATTTTCTGCACGGCCATTTGTAAGGAGACTCCACACCCGAGGAGCAGAACAAAAGCGCACTAATAAAGCAGGAGGGAGGAACGTGCCGCCACAGAGTGTGGCCGCGTGCGCATTAGCCCGGCCCCCAGCCTGGCCCAGGCTGCTGCAGTTGCTGAGCAAGATGAGCGAGTGGTCTCAGCCCGGAACTGTCTCCTGAAATCTCGCCCGGAAGCTACCAGCAAGAGAGACCCTCCCAACAAGCCCCACGCCCGAGCTGAGCCAAAGGCCCAGGGCTGGCAGGACCACATTCCTACCACGGCTGAACGACCAGTGCCTTGGGCACACTCTGTTCCCACAAATGTCTGCCCCAGTGTGGCCCTGTGTGCTTGGGCAGACGTATGACTATCCACCTGTGTGTGAATAAGTGAGTGTGTGCAGACCGCCTGCCTGCATGTGAGCACAGATGGTGGACACGTGGGTGCCTGTCTGAAAGTGAGCAT